AGTGAGACTCTGACTCAGAGAAATAGACAATCAAATAAAAAGAGCCCAATACTAAGAAGGCGGGAGGGGGCAGGGGCCCAGAGGAACCAGCCAGCCTGGGATCAAACTCTCTGGTCTCCCTGACAAGCTGCGTGACCCTGCAGGAATCACTCACCCTCTCTGGGCCTTGGTTTCCTGGCCCGTACACTGGGGCCCGGGAGGACCAGAACAGCAGGGGGGAGGCGGGGGAGAGCAGGTCTACCTGCGACGCCCTCCCGGCGCCCCCCAAAGGGACAGCTCGGAGGACCGGCACCAGACAGGCAGGGCTGGGACCGGCCAGCAGCGGTTCCCAGAGCCCGGCTCGTCCCGCTGAGGCCGGGCCTCCCCGCCTCCCTTCTCGCCGCAGCCGGAAGTCGACACGGAGTATTCAGACCCCTTCGACGCTCAGCCTCGTCCCCCGCCCCCGGAGGGTGGCTACATGGAGCCCTACGGGGCCCTGCGGGGCCTGAGCGGTGAGTGGGCCGGGCCGGGGACAGGCGACCGGGCCCAGGGGCCGGCGGGCGCTGACCCTTGCCCCCGGCCTCCCAGAACTGCCCTGCAGGCCGGTGCAGCTGTATGACACGCCTTACGAAGAGCCGGACCCGGAGGCAGGGGACGTGGGTCAGCCGCCTCCCGGGCAGCGGCCTCGACAGAGCCGGATGCCCCCGGAGGACGAACGGCCGGCGGATGAGTACGACCAGCCCTGGGAGTGGAAGAAAGACCACATCTCCAGGGCGTTTGCAGGTGCGTCCTTGAGATCCGAAAGCCCCCGTCCCTCTGTCTCCTCCTCTGGTCAGTGGTCAGGTCCCCTGTCTCGGCTGGCAGCCTGGAGTCCCAATCGCCGGCCGCTTTGGCCGCGTGCGACTTCATACTGAAGTGTGAATGACTGCCGGCGACTTCATACTAAAGTGTGAATGACTGCCGGCCGTCACCTCTTCCTTCCAGGAGAAGTGGAAGTGCTTTTTAGTCCTCGGGCCGCCCAGTGTAGGGCAGGGAGAGGAGCGTGGCTGGCCTCGGGGGAGGGGAGGGCGGCGTTTGCAGTCTTTGAGTGTTCCACGACTTACCGTCCATTCCCAGCTACATTCGGTGAACCCGTTTCCTCTTCTGTCAAAGGCATCGAGATAGAATCAGCTTTAGGAAATAGAATACTGGGACCCGGGAGAGTTGTGCAATCGCTTTGTCCCAGAAGTTGTGTGACTGGGAAGGTATCTGGCATGTTTGCTGGGGTGATTGGCTGGATTGATGACCCCAGGAGGGAATTCAGGAGTAGAGCAGGGACCCTAATCGGAGATTTCGAATCCTCCACCTCTAGCCACGCCCCTGTGCGCTGATTGGTCGGTCACGCCCCTGCCCCGCCCCTTCCAGGCCACTGCCCCGCCCCTTCCAGGCCACCAGCTTCGCGGATGAACACACCCCTTTCTTCTCAATGGGCGGCTCCTGCGCCAATCCCCCCCGGCCTTCGAGGCAGCCCCGCCTCTTCTGGGCTCTGATAGGTTGCTTCAAGCTGGCCCCGCCTTCCTATTGAATTTCCATTGGTTCGCCCCCGCCCCGCCCCACAAGGTAGGCTGGACTTAACCTTTTCCTCTCCAACCCCCCCCCCCACTTTAGTGCAGTTTGACAGTCCCGAGTGGGAAAGGACCCCGGGCTCAGCCAAGGAGCTCCGGAGACCCCCACCCAGAAGCCCCCAGCCCGCAGAGCGTGTGGACCCGGCCCTGCCCCTGGAGAAACAGCCGTGAGTGGGGAAGCTGTGGGTGGAAGAGCCCCGCTGAATCTCCAATCAGCCAGACTCCAACTTATCATGCAGAAACTGTATCCCCAGACTCGGGGGGCTGGGGGGGGGAGTTGACTCATTCATTCACTTCATCCATTTCTTCAACTAGTCTTTACTGGGCGCCCGCGGGGTGCCAGACACCCAGCTAGGCCCGCAGCGGAATCAGAAGGGGTCCCTTTGCCTCTGGTGTCAGGTACTGGGTTCACATCTCCCGGCTGTTCGGCCTGGGGGAAGGTCGCTTAACCTCTCTGAGCCCCGGGCTCAAATCCCCCAAGACGGTGCCTGGCTCGAACAGAGCCGAGGGGGAATTTCCTCCCTTCATGTGGTGGGGCTTAGGGACTAAGAGCCAAGAGACAGAAGCATTCTCACCCAGGAGGTCTTAGGATGGAACTAGGGGCGGCAAGAATTGGGTGGGCTCTGAACTTGGCGCTGGGCGATGGAGCACGGGCCGAGAGACCCCGGGTCCCCTCTGTGTCCCTCCGGCCTGGGTGCTCCGGGGGGGGCTCTCCAAGTCCCCAGAGCACAGGCAGGCCCGAGCCCCTTCAGTGGGCGATACAGAGCTGACCACTCAACCCCCAAGGCATGAGGTGCGAAGTTTACGCTCTGTTCAATTTTATTTGTTTATTTTGAGTCGGAGTCTCCCTCTGTCGCCCAGGCCGGAGGACAGTGGCCACTCCCGGCCACCGCAACCTCGACCCGCTGGGCTCCGGCCATCCTTCCGCCTCCGCCTTCCCAGTAGCTGGAACTACAGGCGCGCGCTCCCACGCCCGGCTAAGTTGTTGATGTATTGTAGAGACGAGGTCTTGCCAAGTGGCCCGGGTGGGTCTCGAACCCCTGGGCTCAGGCAGTCCTCTCACCTCGGCCTCCCAAAGGGCTGGGATGATAGGCGTGAGCCACCGCGCCTGGCCTTCAGTTTCCTTTCGAGGTGTTTTTGACACCTTGCTCGCAACTGCTAACCTGTCTGTGAGCACATCAAAGGAAAACATTGAAGAAAGGATGGCAGAGAGGCCGGGCACGGAGGCTCAGGCTTGCCATCCCAGCACTTTGGGAGGCCGAGACGGGAGGACCGCTTGAGCCCAGACGTTCGAGCCCAGCCTGGGCAGCCTACCAAGACCTTGGCTCTGCCAAAAGAAAATTGAAAACTGTCGGAGCCGGGTTCGGTGGCTCAGTCTGTCATCCCAGTGCTTTGGGAGGCCGAGGCGAGTGGAGTGCCTGAGCCCGCGGGTTCGAGAGCCGCCTGGGCCACTTGGCGAGACCCCGTCTCTACAATAAATCAAAAACTAGCCGGGTGGGGTAGCGGGCGCCTGTCATTCCGGCTACTCGGAAGGCTGAGGCCGAAGGATCGCCGGAGCCCAGCAGGTCGAGGCTGCGGTGGCCGGGAGCAGCCCCTGCCCTCCAGTCTGGGCGACCGAGTGAGACCCCAACTCAAAAAAGAAAAGAAAAGGAAATTGTTTGAGACCAGCCTGGACAACTTAGCAAGATCTCGTATTTACAAAAAGAAGAAAGAAGGAAAAAATTAACCACGCCAGGCGCAGTGGCTCAGCCTGTCATCCCAGCCCTTTGGGAGGCCGAGGTGAATGGATGACCTGAGCCCAGGGGTTGGAGACCCGCCTGGGCAACTTGGTGAGACCTTGTCTCTACAGTAAGTCAAAAATTAGCCAGGTGTGGAGGCGTGCACCTGTGGCTCCCACCACTTGGAAGGCTGAGGCGGAAGGATCGCCGGAGCCCAGCAGGTGGAGGCTGCAGTGGCCGTGAGTGTGCCACTGCACTCCAGCTTGGGCGACAGAGAGCGACTCTGACACACACACACACTCACACACACACACAAATTAGCCACGCATGGTGGTGGCACCTGTAGTCGTAGCTACTCGGGAGGCTGGGACGGAAGGATGGCCTGAGACCGGGAGGTGGAGGCTGCAGCTGGGCGACAGAGTGAGACTCTGACTTACGAAAAGAAAAGACGAATCCCAGGGAAGTGCTCGGTCTGCTGCCCGGAGGTCACCAGCCCTTGCGCCGGCTGTGCACGGACCCGAGGGCCCCGGCGTGTTTGCAGGGGCCCCTTCCTGAGACACCTGTCCCCACCCAGGTGGTTTCACGGCCCGCTGAGCAGGGCGGACGCGGAGAACCTGCTGTCGCTCTGCAAGGAGGGCAGCTACCTGGTGCGACTCAGCGAGACCAGCCCCCAGGACTGCTCCCTGACCCTGAGGTGAGGCCCCAGCCCGGCAGGCGGCGCCCTTTGGGGTTGACTGCCTGGGAGCAGAGGGGTGGGCTCCGGCAGCCGGCGGGCGGGGCTTCCAGGATGGGGGCCGAACTTCCAGGACAATGGGCGGGGCTTCTAGGACGGGGGAGGCGCTCCAAAGATGGCGGGCGGGGTTTCCGTGACGGTGGGCGGGACTTTCAGGACAGAGGGCGGGGCTTCCAGGGCAGAGGGCGGGGCCTTCAGGACAGAGGGCAGGGCTTTCAGGACAAAGGCGGGACTGCCAGGATAGAGGGCGGGGCTTCCAGGGCAGAGGGCGGAGTTTCTAGGACAGAGGGCAGGGCCTTCAGGACAGAGAGTGGGGCTTCCAGGACAGGGGGCGGAATTTCCAGGACAGAGGGCGGGGCTTCCAGGGCAGAGGGCGGAGTTTCTAGGACAGAGGGCAGGGCCTTCAGGACAGAGAGTGGGACTTCCAGGACAGGGGGCGGAGTTTCCAGGACAGAGGGCGGGGCTTCCAGGGCAGAGGGCGGAATTTCCAGGGCAGAGGGCGGGGCTTCCAGGACAGGGCGGGGCTTTCAGGACAGAAGGCGGGACTGCCAGGATAGAGGGCGGGGCTTCCAGGGCAGAGGGCGGAGTTTCTAGGACAGAGGGCAGGGCCTTCAGGACAGAGAGTGGGGCTTCCAGGACAGGGGGCGGAATTTCAGGACAGAGGGCGGGGCTTCCAGGACAGAGGGAAGGGCTTCCAGGACACAGGGCAGGGCTTTCAGGACAAAAGGCGGGGCTTTCAGGACAGAGGGTGGGTCTTCCAGGACAGAGCGTTGGAATTCCGGGACAGAGGGCGGAGTTTCCAGAACAGAGGGCGGGGCTTCCAGGACAGAAGGCGGGACTTTCAGGACAGAGGGCGGGGCTTCCAGGACAGAGGGTATGGCTTTAATGATAGTGGGCAGGATCCCTAGGGTCAGGGGCGGGGCTTCTAGGAAGGCTACCAGCATGGTTCCCACTGGGAGTGAGCACCCCATGGCTGGAGGTATGCAAGACAGAGCAGAAACCATACAAGAGATCCATGCCCTGAGTAAGATGGGGAACTAAGTGTCTACGGTTCCTTCGGACTCTCCTAGTCCAGAAGTTGAAGTCCATCCATTTGTGTCTGCCTGAAGCTGCAGTCTCAGCATGGCCCTTGAAAACATTTGAGTTTGAGACCCTTTTTTTACACACTTCTGTCCCTAAGGTCCCAAGTGTGTGTCATTTTAAGCCACTCCTAGGATTCTACTATGTGTCTTAGTACGAAATGCAAAAGGACGAGATTGGAAGAGGGTTTCGGAGGCGGGTTCAAATCCCGACTCCTCCACTCTCTGGGCCTCAGTTTCTCCATCTGTAAGATGAGTTCAATCATACCAGGCACTTCCTGGTGGTACTGCAATCATTTTTTTTTTTTTTGAGTCGGAGTCTCACTCTGTCGCCCAGGCTGGAGGGCAGTGGCACACTCACAGCCATCACAGCCTCGACCTGCGGGGCCCCGGCGATCCTTCTGCCTCAGCCTTCCGAGCAGCTGGAACTTTAGTCGCGCGCCACCACACCCAGTTAATTTTTTGTATTTATTTATTTAGAGACAAGGTCTCGCCAGGTTGCCAAGGCTGGTCTTGAACCCCCGGGCTCGGGCAATCCTCTTGTCTTTGCCTCCCCCAAGTGCTGGGATGACAGGCGTGAGCCACCGCGCCCGGCAATACCGCAATGATTCCGAGACAACAAAAAGTGAAAAAAATGTTGAGAGCAGTGTCTGGGAGGCAGAAGTGCTTCATTTATGTTCATAACGATGATTAGATGATTACCAGGTTCTAGGTCATTCAACCACCAGAGATGGAGAGGAAGGAAAGGGATCCCAGGCCCAGGCAGGCGCCCAGAGGACAGAACAAGGGGTCAGAAGGTGTGGAGACAGCCGGGCATGGTAGCGCGCGCCTGTAGTTCCGGCTACTCGGAAGGCGGAGGCGGAAGG